GCTCTGAAGAAATAGGTGTCCCTCTTTCAAGCTTAGGATCGTCCTTGAATGTTTTAATGCCCCTGAGCTGCAATTCGTGGTATAAATGGGATACAAAGCTCAGTCGAGTGTCCTCGCCCCTGAAACTCAAAAACACATCGTGGTTCCATTCAGATGAAGGACGAAAGGCAGAGGCTGTTTGGGTGCTCAATTCCATTGGCAATCTGCTGCTCCTGCAAACACTACTCAATTAAAGATTCAAAAATCCAAACACTCCATGAAATAAATACAAAGACTATGATAAATGGCTTGAAAAATGAAAAATATATCGTGAAGTAGAAACTGCATATGCTTTAGCTTAATTAATGTTACCTGAACAAAGCAGATATGGAAATGTAGACGAAGCAAGCCAACCAAAACTCACAAAAAATACAACTTCTCAAGATCAGCCAAGAAACCAACAAGAAGAAACAAAGCTAGCAGCCTCAGAAAAGAGAGAGACTTGGAAACCGTGTACAGGCGAGCACACGGTTTTACTTTTCAGCTATCTCCAACGTCACCAATGGGAGTCATTTCTCTTTTCTTTTCTTTTTTCTTTTTTCTTTTTTCTTTTTTCAGCTATCTCAAGCAAAAATGGAATCGAAACCGGTACTGTTCACCGGTCCGATTTGGATTTTAACAAAAATGCCAAAGAAAACCGAACCAATCCGGTCCAGTTTAAGTCCGGTTCGGTTCCGGTTTTTCATGCTTTGAACCGGCTCTTTGGCCTAACTGACATTTTTACACAAAGCAATGTGAATCGCCAAATCCATGCAAGAAAACCATATCTGAATCTTACAAGATACCAAAAAAACCTATCTAGAAAACAGATCCAATCGATGCACCAAAGGAGAGTAAGAAACAAAAAGACATATCAGACAAAGAGGAGAGGAGAAAAGAGAAGAAGAAATAAAGATCTAGTAAGAAATAAAATAAAGAAAATAATAGAAAGAGAGGAAGAAATAATCAATGAGAAAGAATAAATGAGATGAGAGGAGATAAAAGAAAGAATCGGAGCAAGAAGAGAGGAAGAAAGAATCGGTGAGCAAGAAGAGAGGAAAGAAAGAAAAAATCAGAGAAAAGTGAGAGAATACTTAGAGAAGAGAGAGAAATGAGAGGAATAAACAAAACAAAAAGTCTGAAAGATTTGATAAAAAAAATAAAAAGGAGCCGTTCTCTTCTCTCTGCCCAAGACATCAACACCATAAATCCCATCCAACTTGCTTTTCAATCACGTCTCTCAACTTTATCTCGAGAAGAAAATCCATTCTTTTTTGGCTATATCACACCACTAATTGAATTTCAGAAATTTAATTAATACACAAAATTGTCTGAGTCAAAAAGAAAAATAATGTTACAGTAAGCACACGGTTTCTCTAGCCTTCAATGGGAGTCCAAGTCTTCTTGGGCAATGAGTAATTTCTTTTGCTTTTTCAATAAATAGCTAGCCTCAGAAAAAAGGAGATATTAGTGGCCACCAGCTTACAGAGAGAGAGGGGAGAAAAGGATGAAGGGTGCATTTTTGCTCACCATTTTAATCATAGGTGTACCTTCACCATCCTCCTCAATGCTTGACACGTATCCATAGACATAACCATAGTTAACTTTTGCTTTGTATTTATGGAATCATAGTTATGTCTATGGACACGTGTCAAGCATTGAGAGGGTGGTGAGGGTACACCTATGGTTAAAGTGGTGAGCTTTGCTTTTCAATAACTAGCTAGCCTCAGAAAAAAGGAGATATTAGTGGCCACCAGCTTACAGAGAGAGAGAGAGAGAGGGGAGAAAAGGTTGAAACCGTGTTACAGTACGCACATGCTTTCTCTTGTCAGTTATCATTTGCTTTTCAATGAAGAGGCCAATTATTTATTTTTTTTTGGTGCAAAGGAGGGCTAACGCCCGAAAAAAGAAACAGCAACTATAAGGGAATTAAACGAGGACTAGCCACATTGCTAGTATCAGCAGCAAGGACAGTACTAAGAAAGGCAGGCTCCGAGTCAAAAATATGAGGTCCAAGAGGGAGATCATAGCTTTTGGTAGCCAGAAGATCAGCAGCACGATTTTGCTCACGGTAGATATGGGTAAGAGAGCAAGTCCAGTCATCATGAAGCTTCAGATGACAGCAGTTTAGAAGACTAAAAAGAGGATGATCATACATAGGAGCATTCTGAAGGAGGGCCACCACAGAGCTAGCATCACATTCAACTTCCACAACTCTGAAACCCATATTCCAAGCCAACTTGAGGCCCCAAAAAACACCCCACAGTTCAGCCTCTAGGATTGTCCCAACCCCAAGATTCACAGAAAAACCATTTAACCACTTGCCAGTGGAGTCTCTCAAGATACCACCAGCACCAATACAACCCGTTTCAGTTTTCCTGCTACCATCAGTATTGATTTTACAGATCCCATGCCTGGGAGCAATCCAATGTAACTGAATCAGACGCATCACAACAGAATCAGGAGTATGATTACAAACAGTAAACCAGTCCATAGCATAATTCAAAATTATTTGACGAGAGTTAGGCGGAGTCGAAAAATTCTGTTCAAAGACCACCTTACAACGCCATTTCCAAACAAACCAAATATAAACTGTGAAGACCAACGACCAAGGAATACTATGAAAGGTTCTGTGGGATTTTAAGTTTTTAAGAAGCCAAGAATCAAAGTCAACCATTGGGAAATTAGGAGCCTCAACATCCTCCCAAAAATCCTTCCCAATTAATTGAGTAGTAGTGCAATCAATAAACAGATGATCAAGGGATTCCACATGAGAGGAGCACCTCGGACAGGAAGTGTCCTGACCAATCCCCCTCTTCTGTCTTTGAACATTGGTAAGAAGTTTCTTATGACAAAGAACCCAAAGGAAGGTTTTAATTCTAATAGGAATGTGAAGCTTCCAAATAAAGTTCCAAGACCACGTCAAAGGATCATCATTAATGGTGGAAATGTCATAGGCTGTTTTAACAGAAAACTTACCATTAGTAGTGAGATTCCAGATGCATCTATCAGGACCACTGTCTTGAAAACCAGCATGCACACAAAGGATCAAGTGGACAATATGAGCAGGCAGACGCTCCAGTAAGCAATTAACATTCCATGTGTTGTCTGCAAAAAAGTCACTAACCTTAAGAAGGAGCATATCTTCAGAAATGTCAATAGTAGCATATTGGATCAAAGGCCCACAGCTAAGCCAATTATCAGTCCAGAATCTGATAGTATCACCAGAACCCACCCTCCATTTGGTACCATGAGGAATAATCTGAGCACCAAAGAGGATACCGCTCCACGCACTAGCTCCCTCTTTCATTTTGACCTGAGTAATATTTCATAAAAAAACATAAGCAAAGGACCCGTTACAGATTTCTTACTTTTTATCTACCTTATTTCCCATCTCAGTTGGGTAGATTTAAACCTAAAGTGATGAAGAAACTGATATCTGCTAAATTCAACAATCATAAAATGGTAATTAATAAGAGGGAGAAAGATGAAGAGAGAGAACTAGCAAAAAAAAGTGACCAAATTCACAAACATCAAACTCAGTAGCCATTATCTAATCAACAACCCGTTGGAAATTTCAGAGGGGCTTGGCAATATGCTATCAAATTCGTTTGATAAGGGAGAGAGAGACGAACGCAAACTCAAGGGAGCAAGCAAGACATCAGAAACTTCTGTAAAAGAAAACGACATGGTTTTGTTTTTCAGAGAAAAAAAACGACATGATTTTAATTAGCGTGTTAATGTTTTTTTTTATTTAAAGAAATTATTTTCTAACCTTAAAAAGATCCTTTACCACCACAAAAAAAAAAAAAAAAAACCCTGGGCTAACACCCTTTCCTTTATCTTCACTAGTAGTAGTCCCATTTTTAAAATTCTTCTTCCAAGCTTTTCTAGTCGGAACAACATTCCAGATACCAAAACCTGCCTTATCCCCCATGGGATCAATTGGGCCTCTTTGATTATCATCAAGCCTCAATTTATGTAACTGTACTTGATGAGAACGCATCTCTTCTTGAATATCCCCAGTCATATCCATATCAGTCTCATTGTCCTTATGGACAGAGTTAGCAAAAGGACAATACTCTTTACTGTGCCCAACTCTGCAGCAATTAAAACAAATCACAGGGAGGTTTTCGTATTCCACTCTCATAGGCCTACCTTCAACAACTAGGTAAGGGATGAGAGGCTTATTCAAATCAATTTCAACACAGACCCTTGCAAACTTACCTCTCATCTGACCTACAGTATGAACATCCACCTTATATGATGAGCCAATCAAATCCCCAATACACTTAATAGTCTCAGCATTGAAAAATTCAACTCCCATACCAGATAATCTCACCCAAACAGTAATGCGGGAAACATGCTCCTCAGCTGCACAAAAATTAGGTCTCCATTTTTTAACAGCAACATATTGTCCAGCTACTACCCAAGGACCCCCAGTTAACACATACAACAAATCCTCCTCCAGAACAAAACGAACAATGAAGAACCCATTGTCTAGATCAACCAATTGCATTGGCCCCTTAAGTCTCCAACGCTGCTTCAGCCGTGCAAGGACAAAATTATAGGTATGAGTCTTCCTTACGAACTGGATAATCACAAAATTTTTCCAAGGTCTATAGATCTTATTCTTAACCTGTTCAGAAAAACGAATCGAGGGACCATAAGGAGAATCCTTAACTTCAAAATCACCCGATTCTCAGAAGCACACACAGTATCATTAAAATCCCCAAGGATCAACCAAGGCAGATTAGAAGCAGAAGCCAGACCATCTAAATAATTCCAGAGAGATTTTCTAATGCCCGGGCACGGATTAGCATAAACAACAGTGAGGATCCAAGAACCTTCATCCATAGTTACCAAGGCTGAGATAGTCTGGCTGGAATGAGAGATAACCTGCAAAGAAACAGAGGGACCATTCCAAAGCAACCAGACTCCTCCTGAGAAACCAGTGGCATCAACAATATGATAGCAAGAGAAACCCAAACTTTTAGCAATATTAAGAGCCCTAGAACCACCGATTCTAGGCTCTAAAACAGCAAGAACATCAATAGCATAGATCTTCTTTAAATCCTTGATAGTACAAGCACATTCAGTTTTTCCAGCACCCCTAACGTTCCAAGAGACAATAATCATTGGATAAAAAGATGGTGGGACAGACCAAGGAAAACCCTTAACAATCACCTTGCTGAGCTCCACACAAACGGGGAGCATCATTGACAACAGGCAGATCAGCCCCCATACCAACATCATGAGCATCATGAAAAAATTGTTCCTCACTAATCTCCATAGTGTCACAAGATAGCATAGGAGGAGAAGACTCATAAGATTTGGTAACATTGTTCCCAGGGTCTGGAGGTATAAGTACAGAAAGATTGGTACCCTTATCCATAAGGTTCCCAGTAAAAGGGTTTGTCACATTAAAGGAGAATTTACCTGCAATATCATCCTGAACATCAGCTCCAGGAACCTGCATCCCTACCGAGCTGAGACCAGCAGCAGCAAGAGGCCGAGCTCCAAAATTGTTCTTCAGGTGTCCCCAAGTACCAGAGCTGGGTGGCTTGCCATCACCCCCAAGAGTGTCTTGGTTAGAGATGTCTTTGAGGGGTTTCTTAGACATCCAACCTTTCGGGTCTCGACTAGCCAAGGTTTGTTTGCCTGAGCCACTCAACTTAGAGTTTGCTGGTTGGAAAGGACGGTTGGGCTTCCTCATGCTTGCCTTTTGGTCTGCAGAAGGAGGAGAGATTGCAGCAACAGGCTCCTCAACTGCCATATCATTATTATCTCCATTATCCAACACAGAAAACCTGGATCCAGAAGCACCAAGATTGGGTTCATTGCCATCACGCTTAGAGATTTTCTTTCTAGTATCTGCACCTCGCCCCTGATCACTAGGATTCTTCTTTGTGGAAATCTTTG